AAGGCTCCTCAGGCATACCCACAGCTATTAGCTGACACTCAGTGGTTGTTTAAGATCATTTTAGTTTAATCATGGCCATCACAGTGTTTGCTAATCTATACTCGGAATACCTGTCCTTAGTTCTGAGGCATTTAATGGACACTATTAACCTATTACGGGTAAGTACATGAATAGTAAACAAATGTGATATGAAAAAAAAAATAAGAATAGAAAGGCAAGAAATTCATACAATGAAAAAATTATAAATGCTGTGTAAGAGCATTTGATCCTGAAGGACAAAAATCAATAACTGAATGTATAAAATGTGCTATGCCTACAATATATACAGCAACAAACAGCTAAGTTCCACACTTACAGCTGTAAGATTAGCATCAATGTCTGAACCCTACTGGCCTGATTCTAATCCAGTAGAAAGCTGAGACTTTCTTCAATATTGGCACTACGAATCCTACTTTCATAACAAACCATGGTTAGCCTAAACATGTTTTAAAAAAATCTTACTGTGGAATAAAGCAGCAGACATACATATTGAAGTTACTAAAGAGTGCCACATTTAAAGAAGTTTCCATTTTTACATTTCTACAAATTACTTACATAATGAAATAGACAGATTCTTACAGTTTGGAAACTGTATAAATCCCTGTAACTAACAGCAATGACAATATAAAATCTAATACTATGGTGAATGAAAGTGGCAAGAGTAGGCATCCTTGTATTGTTCCTGATGAAAGCCTTTCAAGATTTTTATTTGACACAGAGAGAGAAAGAAAGCACAAGCAGGGGGAGCAGCAGGCAAAGGGAGAGGGAGAGAAGCAGGCTCTCCACTGAAAAGGGAGCCCAGCATGGGGCTTGATCCCAGGACCCTGGGATCATGACCTGAGCCGAAGGCAAACACTTAAGTGACTAAGCCACCTAAGCGCCCCAGGCTTTCAGCTTTGCACCACTGAGTAGGTTGTTAGCTGTGGGCTTGTCATATATGGCTTTTATTACATTGATATATGTTCCTTCTATACCCACTTTGTTGAGGATTTTTATCGTAACTAGATGTTGAATTTTTGTCAAATGCTTTTTCCACATTTATTAAGATGATTATATGATTTTTATCCTTCATCTTGTTAATGTAATCTATCACACTGACTGATTTAAGGATGTTGAACCATCCTTGCATCCCTGGATTAATCTCATTTGATCATGGTATATGATTCTTTTAATGCATTGTTGAATTCAGTTTGCTAATATTTTGTTCAGGAATTTTTCATCCATGTTCATCAGGGATACAGCTGTGTAATTTTTTTTTCTTGTGGCGTCTTTGGTTTTGCTATTAAGGTAATGAAAGCCTCATAAAGTAAGTTTGCAAGACTTCCCTCCTCTTCTATTTTTTTGGAAGAGTTTAAAAAGGATAGGTATTAACTGTTCTTGGACTATTCACCAGTGAAGCCTTCTAGTCCTAGCCAGAGCAATTAGGCAAGAAAAATAAATAAAAAGGCATTCAAATTGGAAAGAAAAAAGTAAAACTGTCACTATTTATAGATGACATAATAGTATATATAGAAAACTTGAAAGACTCCATCAAAAAACTGTTATTAAAACTAATAAGTGAATTCAGTAAAGTTGCAGGATACAAAAATCAGTTGAATTTCTATACACTAAAATTTTCAGAAAGAAAAATAAAGAAAACAACACCATTTATAATTGTATCAAAGAACAAAATACTTAGGAATAAACTAAATGAAGTAGGTGAAAGATCTAAATATTGAAAACTCTAAAACATTAATGAAAGAAATTCAAGACACAAATAAATGAAAAGCTATTCCATACTTATGAACTGGAAGAATCAATACAGGTAAAATGTCTATAGTACCCAAAGTAATCCAAAGATTCAATGCAATCCCTATCAAAATTCCAATGCCATTTTTCAAAAAAAAATATGGTCAATTAATTTACAACAAAGGAGCCAAGGATACATAAGGGCTAAAGGATAGTCCCTTCAATGAATGATAGTGGAGAATGAAACTTGACCACTATCTTCTATCATACACAAAAATTAACTCAAAATGGATTAACAATTTGAACCGTGGGTGCCTGGGTGGCTCAGTTGGTTAAGGGTCCAACTCTTGATTTCAACTCAGGTTATGATCTCCAGGTCATGAGATCGAGCCCCGTGTCATGCTTCGTGCTCAGCACAGAGTATGCTTGTCCCTCTCCCTCCCCCAGCTTGTGTGTGCTCGCTCTCCCTCTCTCTCAAATAAATAAAATCTTAAAAAAAAAAAAGATGAACCTAAGACCTAAAACCATAACACTCATACAAGAAAACACAGGTGGGTAAGCTTCTTGATGAAGGTCTTGGCAATGATTTTTGAATCTGACACCAAAAGCAAAAACAAGTAAGTAGGACTACATCATACTAAAAAAGCCTCCAGCACAGCAAAAGGAACCATCGACAGAAGGAAAATGTAACCTACAGAATGAGATAAAAATATATACAAATCCTAAGGGACTAATATTCAAAATTTATAAAGAACTCATACAATTAATGACAAAAAAATCCAATTAAAAAATGGGCAGAAGATCTGAATAGACACTTTAAAAAAAAAACAAACATACAGATGGCCAACAGATGAAAACATGCTCAACAATCACTAATCATGAGGGAAATGCAAATCAAAACAATGAGATACCACATCTCACATTTTAGAATGGCTATTATCAAAAAGATGAGAAATAACAAGTATTGGTGAGGATGTAGAGAAAAGGGAACCCTTCTGCAGCCACTGTGTAAAACAATATGGAGGTTCCCCTCCCCACAAAAAAAATCCAGCCATATGATCAAGCAATTCCACTTGCGGGTATTTATCTGAAGAAAACAAAAACACTAACCAGTAAAGATATATGCACCCCCATGTACACTGCAGTGCACACACACACAAATTTTATTCAATCATAAAAAGAATGAGATCTTGCCATTTGCAACAACTTGGACGGACAGATATTAGGCTAAGTTAAATAAGTCAGACAAATACCATTTGATCTCTCTTATATGTGGAATCTAAAAACAAACCAAAAAACCTCCTAGATATAGAAAACAGATTGGTGGCTGCCAGAAGCCGGGGAGGGGGGGAATGGGTAAAGGGGGTGAAAAAATTATATACATACATAAATACAGTCTTTCCACCACTGCAGCAGAGGTTCCCATGTGCTTTCCAATCAACACCCTAGCCAAAGCAACCTGTCCTGAATAAGAGTGCAATAACATTTATGTATAAATGTTGTAAGAATGCAGGCTTTGGTTCTCATGGATAAATACATGGGAGTGAAAAAAATAAAATAATAAAAATAAATACATGGGAGTGAAATTGCTAGGTCATAGTCTATGTTTAATTATACATATATTTTAAAGTTGTTTTAGAGAGTGGTTTTATCATTTAACACTTCCAGAGTTCCAGTTACATCTTTACCAACACTTGATATTCTCCAGTCTTTCTTAAGTAGTAGTACGTGCATAGCAATAGCTTACTGTATTTTTGTTTTGCATTTCTCTAATTACAAATGGCACGGCAGGGGCACCTGGGTGGCTCAGTAGTTAAGCATCTGCCTTCGGCTCAGGTCATGATCCCAGGGTTCTGGGATCAAGCCCCACATCGGGCTCCCTGCTCAGCAGGGGAGTCTGCTTCTCTCCCTCTGCCTGCCGCTCCCTCTGCTTGTGTGCTCTAACAAATAAATAAATAAAATCTTTAAAAAAAAAAAAAAA